GGGTTCGTCCGAACTCGGAATTGACTTCCGTTTTTTTCTACACGTAGCTAACGAACTCCTCTATTCAATGATGCTTGCAAACCACACTTTTGCCAAGAATACAAATTTTATAGAATTTCCAACCATTAAAGGGTCGGTAGTTTGCTAGACTTTGCGTTTTTGGTTCGTACGACTTCGTTTTAACTCTAAATCACATTTCGATTTTCCCATGCGTAGCCGACGAACTTGTCTATCAACCCTCATTCACTAGCTCAAAATATTATTCGAACGATTCCCCGTCGGATTTTCGGACCTACACATCATCAACAAGAAAAATAGAGAAAATAGAGGAAAATAATCGAAAAACACACAAAAGACACAAACTAACGAAAAATACACAATAAAACATTATTCACATAAATAATAAAATAAATGACATAAAATAGAAGAACAAGAACAACGAAACAATAAGAAAAATCACAACAAAAACAGTACAAACAGGAGCCAAGAAGTGCTAGGATTGATTCATTCTGATTTGTGTGGTCCTATGTCGATCCAAGCTAGAGGAGGCTATGAGTATTTCGTCACTTTTATTGATGATTATTCTAGATATGGATACATTTACTTGTTGCACCGCAAGTCCGAATGCTTTGAGAAATTCAAGGAGTATAGGACAGTTGTGGAGAAACAACAAGGTAAAAGTATCAAGTGTCTTCGATCTGATCGAGGAGGCGAATACCTCTTTGGAGAGTTTAGGACATACCTATCAGAAGCAGGGATTGAATCCCAGCTGACTGCACCCGGCACGCCCCAGCAGAACGGGGTTGCAGAGCGAAGAAATAGAACTCTTATGAAAATGGTTAGGTCAATGATGAGTTATTCGAAGATACCAGATTCGTTTTGGGGATTTGCATTAGAGACAGCATTAGAGACAGCACGCGCCCACACGCGCCGCCAGGAGGAGCCTGCTGCTGGGACTTGCAACGGCGCGTGAGAGAGCGTGTGACCTCCGATTTCCGATCGGTCACGCTGTTGACTTCGCCGTGACGTCAGCTTTCTGGATTGGTGAAGTTTGTTCGATTCCGAGAAGATTTGATTTGCGGTCAACTGTCCGGGCCAGCCAGATCTACATAAATTTTAAGCAGTAAGTTTTCTTCATCAAACCTTTAGATCCGCTGCGCATAGGTTTATGGATGAATGTTTGTCCGTGATTTGTGCATATCGAGATCCTCGTGGGTTCCAACAATAGTGACCTAGTAAGACCACACTCCTATTCAAATATTACAAACAAAGAATAATAGAGTTGATACCCAACCCATTGTATTTTTCACACACTCACAGGATTTACTCAACCACTCTATTTTTCTCTCGCTGAAAATAATACTCACAAAATGTTATTTATTCTC